AGCTTTGCGCGAAATTCAAAAACAAACAAACAAACAATACTATATGTTATACCTACTTTTCTACATTTATTTACCAACTGATTTTTAGTCAGTGACTTCCAATTTTAATTCATCCTTGCATTTAATTCTCTACTCTTAAACAATGAATCACACAGTGTATAACTTGTAAGAATTAACTAAACCATCGCTAAAATTAAAACAGGCGGGATAAGAACAAAACTTACTCTCGTTCCTGATTTCACTGCTTCTTCCAGTTGACTTTATTTCTCGGCATTTGTTGATGTGGATCCAGGTTCTAACTCTTCTTTCTTTGTTGGGTTTCGATTTCTAAAGGACATAAGACACAACAACTCACACTGTACTCATACTGTACTCACACTTCGTTTTCCGTTTTTTCTGTACATCGACTTTATTTATGTTGTAGCTTTTTCTATAAGGAATTAACTCACACTCGTGTAACCATACCAAATTTCAGATCAAAAATGGTAATCGATAACACAAAAGCTTAGAAATAGGTCTCTTGTTTCTTACTGAAGCATATTAGTTTCTTCCTATCTCTCTTTCGATTTATTAGTATATTCCTCATATATGATCTTGTCTTCCTTTCTTTATCTTTCAACTCCCATCTTTATGTTCCTTTCACAAACACAAACGAAAGTAACGAAAAAATGGTTGTGCCTGTAGAAAGAAGTTTAGCTTAGCTGGGTCTTAAATGTAAAGAAATGTCACATTTTTGTGTTCAAAGCAAACGAAATTTAACTGACTTTGTTCTGATTGTTTGTTTTGTTCTTAAACACAAAGCTACACAATGGGATATCTGTGATGTGCCCACCACGGGTATTGAAACCCAGTCTTTAGTGTTAAAAGTCTTCTGACATATCGCTCAGCCAATAGGGACAAAAGATAAAGCATTTCGTTACCAGTTCTGCTTGATACTCCTATGCTCGCAGGTGTAATTATCGCACAGTTTTGTCAATGTAAGTGCCATTACAGCCACCACTTGTGTATTTATATACGATCCCGGAACGCATAGGGGTAGGTAATAGGTCTTTAGATCTGAATATATTTTGTATTTTGAACAGTGAAACTGAAAAAAAAACACACACGGTAAATTACATTTTCTTAATATCCAAATCAGCAGAATAGATAACCATTTCATAACATCTGTTCATCGTAAATAAATATACAGGCTTTCGTACTCGATTCGACAATTTTATTCCGAATTCCTTTAAACGTAACCTTATACTCAGTCATCTCAATAGAACATATAACATCTGTTCTAACGACCTCTCGGTTCATATCGAATTGGGCCCGGCATGGTCAGGTGGTTAGGGCACTCGACTCGCAATCTATGGGTCGCGGGTTCGAATCCCCGTCACACCAAACATGCTCGCCCTTTCAGCCGTGGGGGCGTTTTAATGTGATGGTCAATCTCACTATCCGTTGGTAAAAGAGTAGCCCAAGAGTTGGCGGTGGGCGGTGATGACTAGCTGCCTTCCCTCTACCCTTACACTGCTAAATTAGGGACGGCTAGCGCAGATAGCCCTCGTGTAGCTTTGCGCGAAATTCAAAACAAACAAACATATCGAAATCACCACCTGACAGAACATTTCAATAAACAACAGCTATCCCTTGTATTTTATTCAAGCCTTTACACGCAAGTTCCTTTGTCACAAATTTGAGCCCCCATAGAAAGCGTACACTGTTGACAAATACTCATTAAGACTGATCGTTCCTTTTTAGGTAAGCAAAGTTTCATAGTCATATCACAAATTTTAAGAATAATTAAAACGTTTTACCCACCAAGATAAACTACAAATGATATTTGAATAACCTTTCAAAATACAAAATCTATTCAGATATAAAGTATTTCTTCTCTAATACTCTGAAGTCAGCTTCTCAATTAAGCAACTGCCTGTTAGAAAAACTAAAAAATAACGCTGCGGAGATTTTGCTGTCATTTTTAATCAGATTTAGATTGTAAATTAGAGTAGATGTCAGTCATAGTAAAATAAACTTTCCGGAACCAATATTCCTAAATCTAATCATTGGAGAAAACATTAGTTAAATATGGTGTTTCTGGATAGTTGTGAGATAATGTGTTAGGGAATTATGTAATGGAATATGGTGGCAAATAACTCACTAGAGTGATAAGTTTGGTTTGATGTAATCATTTTTTTTGTTATTTTGTTTACTTCTTGTTACATCTAGATGTGAAGAGAGGTAATGGAGGAAAGAGATTCCTGGTACTGGTTTCAACGAACTTCTGGTTACATATGGGTGTGAGTGCAATATAATTGTAGAAAGAGATCCCTAGTATTGGCTCTTGTTTTATAAAAGTTAGGCCCATAATTCCTATCATAATAAGAAATTCTATGAGCCGATTTTTTGGCTTTTAATCCCCCTTCAGGATCCTAACTTATTATTCTTAAAAGCCTATATTATTATATATTTTATTACATGTATAATTATAATAATAACTGCTTCACAGGTATTTTTTTCTTACGAAACACCTATACAGATAACCTTGCAGAAACTAACGTATATATAATGGCATGAACGTAAATTACCTTATAGATATATAAACTACTTTTTATATCCAGTAATTCAATACGACAGACGAACATACAAGGTGTCCGATAATTCTGGAATCACAAAATGTGTTCCATATGTTATCTTTGTAATTCGAAACAAGTTTGGATGAACAGTAGGATTAACTCGACCTTCTCATGCTTTGACAGCACCATAATCAGTTACGTATCTGAAATCAATAAAAGCTGCAAGACACCTATGGTTTCAGACTTTTCGGACACCCTGTAGTTTATCTTATTACATAAACTTACTTAATCTTTCATTATGGTAAACAATCGTAGATTAGATTACTTTACAGAAATAAACCTTTTTAGATTAGTATTAATTAAGCAAAATCCAGTTAGTCTCGTATATTCGGCAAATTATTATAATATGGAATAATATTTTTTTCTTTCTAACTTTTTCTGTGAATTTATTCGCTATATGTTTCAAAAATTTGAATTTAAAAGTGAAAAAAAACGGATACTTTTTAATAATTTTGACTGTTATTACGCAGATTTCGTCGTATTACTATTGGTCATGAAAAGCGATTATTCTGTTATAAAAAAAAATATATTTAACATTTTTGACACTTTAATCCGAAGAGAAATGCAAAAAGTCTGTGATAACAAAACTTTAATGTTAACAAGAAAGTATATTCGTCTGAAGTATTTACAAATCACAATATATGTTTTTGTATATATATATTAAACAGAATCACAGAAAAGCAACAAAGTTAACCAGGAGTGAATGTAAATTCTTACACGCTATGTCTCGTGAAGTACGGCTTAATTTTGGCAATTTGATAAAAATTTATACATTCTGACCTAGTGAACTTGTTTAAAGAAAATATTTATATTTTAAGTAAGAGTTTTTTTATTGTTGAATTAGAAGATCAACATTGTTTTACATGTTTTAAATGTTTGTCAAGCAGCACACAAGTTTGAGCCTCAATAATGTTTGTGCTAAGTCTGTTCGGTATCACTTTACCCAGAACCACTCTGAGAAACGACTCTGTCTAAAAGTTTACAGGAAAAGGTTGCCCTCTAGTATCGAAGGATCTCACGGTTCTCGCTTCCTAGAGGGCGCAGAATCCACGTTACCAAGGTACTGTGAACATATAACGTTCGCGTTGCCTGTTTACAAGACTCTTACAGATATTCGTTACAACCAAATGCTCTGCTTCTCAAGATCACTTGTTTCTTGAACCGATTATCCACATAAGGTAGGTCTGAATTTAATGTAGCTTATGGATTTACAGCATAACAATTCCTTTTACATATAATAAAGGAATCGTTTGTTTAGAGCTAGTATTCTTCTCAAATTACGAAATACATTTAGATTTTAATTTCATTTAAGAGTGAAATTTAAGCGCATGTTCCCACTATTGATTCGTGGTGTTGATGAAATAAAATGAAGAGATAAATCCTTTTCTTTTTTTTTTACTAAGACAACTTCCCGAGCTTCTCGCATAGGTTAATATGTGCATGAGATATCTAAGTTCCTAATACCGAAATATAGTTTAGGTAAATTTAATATCATCATACCTTTAACTATCTATCCTAAATTCAGGCACAAAATACACATTGTCTTAAGTAGTTTTCACGGCTTTACAACAAGTGGATCATTAGATATCTATTTAGTACTAAAAAGATAACTTTCCCTTGGTTAACTTTGTTAAAGCCTATTCATTTTGAGAGAGGTTATTGAAATTATTGATTTTGAACTTTGTTCCTTGCATTATTTAACTGATATTGTGGAAGGCACTATTTTTAACATGTTGATATCCTGTAGTATAACAATATTTAGAGTATACTAGCAGAAATACCCGCCCTCCGGGCAGGTATAATTGCTGGTTCCTGTGGAGGTCTATTGGGCCTGCGGCCTTTTCTGGAATTGTCTGACAGTTCTACAACAATGTAGTCATACTTGACATTCAATAATGTTCACCATTCACGAGAAAAATGATTTTATTGAAAATTTAGTTTAAACATGAGCTATCTTCACAGCATTACATCTCAGAGTAGATTGTATTGAAGTAGTTCTTTGTAGACGCAGTTATTAATGAAAGTGCCTTGCTTTTCTGTTGCAACACTCATGAAATTTTATTTAAAAAACAAATAATTTTTTTAGTTTGTTTTCTGATTGTTTTTATTTGAAACTTACTCCTTTTTTGTAATTCTTATTGGTTAAATCTGAAACATCATTTTTTGAAAATTTCAATTGTTTTATTTATTGCTCAGCTATAAAAATACTGCCTAGTTATAAAAATATTACCCAGTTATGACTGATGATGATCGGTGCGGTAGTTTCCGAGATCCGAGTTTTGGACGTATACATCGCAAGCTCCATTGTAATAAGATAATAAAAATGAAAATATGTGAAAAACATTATCCTGTAGTATTATAACACAGAAAAGGTATTCTTCTGTGGCCAATAATGTGAAAAGCATTATCTGACGTCATAACAATTTCAAATATACACTGTTTTGTAGCTCATTAAACAATAAAGTATTTGAATGCTTAAAAAAATTGCCTTTAAAAACACTATTTTTAACATTAATACTATTGTACACGCTTTTTACTGTATGATTTCGATCTACTTGCTATATGCCCTGTTATTATTTAACAGACTCAGTAACCATTCTAATTTAAATCCATTTGAAGAAAAATTATCAAATAATACGTTTCACTTACCTGAAAAAAACAAAACAAACAAACTGTAATGCTTTTAAAATTTTAAATCTCTAATAATCAGATTGTTTTCAAAAATAAAACAAATAATACAAACAAATATAGATAATTCCGACGAGTTGCCGATTTTAAGACAAACTGTTGTTTAGTTTTTGATGACCCAAATTGTATAGATAATTCAAACTTCACTAACAGTTAATATGCCTGGACTACGAATTTGAGGATTCGTGGTTCGTGACCCGATGTTGCAAAAACGCAGTATGCACTTTGAGTCAGCCGTTAGAGTAACGCTCAAATTCCACTGATTGATCAGACAAGAGTAGACCATAATTTGGCGGTGGATACTATTAACTAGTTGCCATCCTTCTAGTTTACCAGTTCACAATTCGGGAAGATTAGCGTAAGTAGCTGTAGTATAGATTGTGTAGCGAAAAATTCCAAAACAAACAAACGTTTAGTCATATTGATAATCATATTACCATAAACAGTTAAAGATATTCGAAGTATTTACACTATCGTAGCCAGAATAAAAGAGATTATTAACCTCTATTTACTTATTTCAGTCCTTAGATATTCTATTAGACTAAAAAACCGTTTCATCACTGTAGTATATGACAAACACAGAACACAGAGACTATGATTTTCGAGGGTTACCTTCTTCAAAATCTAAATTACCTGAGACGATTGAATGAATATATCAGTTTTCCAGTTGTCTAGGTTTTTAATTAGTTAAAAACTTCTCTTTAGTAGATTATTTCATTAAAATCGTCATTACTAGAAGAAGACCTGCACTTATTTTAAAATTTGACTTAAATTACTACCTATTTCTGTACTGATAAAAGAAGGTAAGTTTCTAATTTCAGCCTTCTCGTGTTAAATAAGGATGTACGTAGCACAAATGTTTGTCACGTTTTGTTATTATATAAATTTATATTTTTATTTCTGTCAATTTTGCAAGCTCATAACACAGTTGCTGTACCTTAATGTGGTAATTCTGGAGTTGAGAACGTGTCAGTAGGCCTCATATGACAGTAGAATAAGTTATGCTATTTACTTTTTACTTCCATTAAAAGATTCAAACCAGACAAGACACGATTAACTTCGCGATAGAGAGTCTTTCCATAATGTTTTGATGTCTTTTTTTTAGATAAATAAAGATTAATACTAACGTAGAAGATTGGATGTCTGTTCGTTAATGTACTTGTAGCTGTTTCAAACACTAGTCCTTATGGTATTTGTCTTTTAACCCAACATTCTTCTTAATACTTAGGTATGAATTATTGTTTTCCCCTAGAGCAACTGGCAGTTGGTTGGCATTGAGTGTAGATCCATTTCTTAGGAGGCTAAGAGATATTCATTTTTTACATCCCACTCTTCTGTTCTATAAAACACTTTGTCCATGAGATGCATGTTTACAATGTTAGTAAATATAGTTTTGAACTGGTAATCTTTACTTGTGTAAACTACTGATCAGCAAATCACGTAACAACGGACACAAAGTCGCGGTGGGATAAAATGTATCAGAACTACTACTTTTGGACGTTAGTTGGCGTTATGTAGGTGGTGTGATGATAATTGATCGTTTTTAGGGGAAGCACGTCACAGCCTTTACAGACGCAAAATAATTTTACATTCAGATAATAAGGATGGGTTCAGATCGGAGTTTTAGGATTTCCAAGGCGTTTAATTGTATTTAATTGCATTGAAAAAAGGAACATATATCAACTTGGGTTTCCAGGACCTTCCAGAAACAGACCTTTAATAATTCGTACCCCAGCCGTAACACTGAAAGTCTGATGTTTTGTAACTGGTAAGAATTCCAAAATATAAGAGTTAGAGGGAAAAAACCGCCCATGTACTCCATGCAATCACATGCAACATAATCAAGAAGTCTTTCCATCTGGAAAAGCGAAACAAGTCACGTGAACACAAGTTGTTTTTATGATGTATTTGTTCCACCGTCACATACCTCAGGCAGCTAGAAAAAAAAAGAAACGGATATTCGTACTATTTCATACGAAAGCATATCAGTAAAGTCTATAGCTTCTGTGCGATCGAGTTGTTGAAATGGGCACTAGAATACTTTCGTCTTCGTACATCTTGGAAATAATGGTGTTCTTTTGACATGATGGAACCTTTTGCAATATAAACTATGCCGCAAGAATATTGTAAATATTACATTCCTCATGTAGAGCATGGCTGAATGTGGAGACATGGACTGTAACGAGGTGGTGAGGTTCCAAAATCATTTTAATACACCGTACTCAACCACTGTATATATAGATATATATATATGTGTGTGTGTTATTGAAAGGTATGTCGGTAGTGTTTGTCCTTATCGTATATTGTGATAATCAAATTAAATTAATGTTATTCCAAATATATATTACATTGTCGCGTGCATATTATATGGTTAATAAACCATATGTGAGAATAAATCAAGGAAAACTCTACATTTACTTATACACTAAACATTTTATAAAATGAGTAAAACCTATTTTCAGTAAGTGCACTACAGTCACTAGTTTTTATAACTTGTACAGCTGGTAAAACCCAACCTCTATTTTCTCGTAAGCTTCGTTATAAACATAAATTAGTGACAGCAGGGTAGTGCAAAAACTAAGTATATATATATGTATATCGTGTGAAATAATCAATTATCTGTTAAAAGAATTGAAAAATTAGAGATACAAACCTAAATCTTGAATGCGTCTGAAACTGGAATATATATTCTTGTTTATAGGCAATAATTATTGTATTTAGAATTACACGATGACACTGGTGAATGCTTTAGAAACGGTTAAATTATAATTCCAAGTGTCATCTACTAGAGAAATGAGGTTGAGAAGTGGACACCTAAATCTTGGAAAGTTTTCAGCGAAATAGTTCTAGTTTAAGACTTGATTGTTCTTTAATGGAAATCTTTTGAAGTTATTAATAGCGCTTTCTATTTTCTACTTTAATTTTTTTTGCAAGGATTTTTAAACAATTTTTTAAAGATAAACTAAAATAATGCCGTACGTGTCGACGCTTCATCCGTGTGAGCAGTGCTGTGTAAAGCTCCAAGAAAAATGAATTAATGAAGTGTAATGTGAAAATCCACAAAGAATGGTGTTTATAAGGACATAGTTTCAAACAATGTGATTGTAATTCAAGTTTTTAAGAATATTTTCACTCGTGAGTCTTACGACGATAACAAGTGAATTTCTTTTTATGAATTAATTACCTTTTGTAACTTACTTGGATATATTTCACGAGTGGAGTATAGTATTTTACTTGTATTTCTCAACTACTATCCTTTTGAAGTAACTAAGTGTTACACTACTCAACAAATCAGCCTAAAGATTAGAAAGATTTAATAATAATATGTAATTTTCCTTACCTGTAGCTTTTAGACAGAGTGGGCGTTAGAAAACACCACACCGTAGAAAGTTGTTTAATTGCATTAATTATGATTTTATTCAAAACAGATATACTCCACAAATTTAATCCACCAATGAGCGATCTACGTAAACTGACATGAAATATTTGG